TCATGATCTGAGCCACAGTCAGCTCCCGGTCTTCTTTTTGCTGACTGTATAGGGCTTCTCCATCTTTGGCTGCAAAGAATATAATCAATCTGATTTCGGTATTGACCATCCGGTGATGTCCACGTGTAGAATCTTGTCTTGTGTTCTTGGAAGAAGGTGTTTGCTATGACTAGTGTGTTCTCTTGGCAAAACTCTGTTATCCTTTGCCCTATTTCATTCTGTACTACAAGGCCAAATTTGCATGTTACTCCAAGTATTTCTTCTTACTTTTGCATTCCAGTCCCCTACAATGAAAATGACATCTTTTGGGGGTGTTAGTTCTAGAATGTCTTGTAGGTCTTCATAGAACCGTTCAACTTCAGCTTCTTCTGCATTACTGGTCGGGGCACAGACTTGGATTACCGTGATATTGAATGGTTTGCCTTACAGAGATCATTCTGTCGTTTTTGAGACTGCAACCAAGTACTGCATTTTGTATTCTTTTGTTGACTATGAGGGCTACTCCATTTCATCTAAGGGAGTCTTGTCCACATTAATAGATATAATGGTCATCTGAGTTAAATTCATCCAGTCCCGTCCATTTTCGTTCACTGATTCCTAAAATGTCAATTTCACTCTTGCCATCTCCTGTTTGACCACTTCCAATTTGCCTTGATTCATGGACCTAACATTCCAGGTTCCTATGCAATATTGCTCTTTACAGCATCAGACTTTACTTCCATCACCCATCACAACCACAACTGGGTGTTGTTTTTGCCTTGGCTCTGTCTCTTCACTCTTTCTGGAGTTATTTCTCCACTGATGTCCCAGTAGCATTTTGGGCACCTACTGACCTGGGGAGTTCATCTTTCAGTGTCCTATCTTTTTGCCTTTTCATGGCGTTCTGAAGGCAAGAATACTGAAGTGGTTTGCCACTCCCTTCTCCAGTGAACCACGTTTTTTCACAACTCTCCACCATGACCCGTCCATCTTGGGTGGCCCTACGCTGTATGGCTAATAGTTTCATTGAGTTAGACAAGACTGTGGTCCATGTCATCGGTTTGGTTAGTTTTCTGTGACTGTGTTTTTTTTGTGTAGTTTTCTGTGATTAGCAATGAAGAAATGCAAATCATAATGAGGAATGAGATATAAGTTTGAAGCTGAAAGAAACAATAACTGAAATGAATTCAGTTCAGTAGATGTGACCAGGATAAAGAATCAGCAAATTTATAGACAGGTGAAATGAAACTATATATTCTGAGGAGAAGAAAGAAAACAATGAAAAAAAAATCCACAGACCCTAGGAGACCCATGGGACACGAGCATGCACATGCATTGTAGGAGTCCCAGAAGAGGAAAGAGAAAAGGGGCAATAAGAATATTTGAAGAAATGATAGTAAAAAAACTTCCCAAACATGACAAAACACATGAATCTCCATATCCAAGAAGCTCAAGGAATTCTAAGAAAGATAAATTCAAAAATATTCATCCTAAAATAATACTCAAACTGTATAAAGGCAAAGAAAATCTAGAAAGCAGGAGAAGAGAAGTGATTGTGATATGAACAGGATTGTCAACACAATAGCTGTTTTCATAACAGAAACCATGGGGTCCGGAAAGCAATAGCTTAACATACTTATGTTGCTGAAGAGAAAAAAAAAACTTAACCAAACAAATGAACTAAAAATTTGGCAAAACTATTCTTCAAAACTAAAGGAGAATTTAGTCAATCTGCTCTATAAGAAATGCTACAGTTTTTCAGATTGAAATTAAAGAATATAAGACAGTAACTCAAAGCTCTATGAAGAGATAAAGGACTGAGTTGAGGACTCACACTTCCAATTTTAAAAATTACCTCCAAGGGAATCAAACCCGTGTGGTATTGGAATAAAAATGGAGATAAAAATCAATGGAACAGTATCAAGATTCCAGAACTAAACCCATACATCTATGGTTAATTGATTTTCAACAAATGGTGCTGGGGAAAATTGGTTAGCTATATGTTAAAGAATACTGTTAGACGACTGGCTCATACTACACACAAAAACTAACTCAACATGGATCTAAGACCTAAATCTAAGAAGTATAAACATCTAAGAAGAAAACAGACACAAATTCTTTACAATTTTGGATTTTGCAATGGTTTCTTAAATATGACACCAAAAGCTTGTGACAAAAGAAAAAAATTAATTAAATTTCATTAAAACTTAAAAACTTTTGTACATGAATGGACACTATCAAGAGAATGAAATAATAACCTACAAAATGGGAGGAAATACTGCAAATCATGTATCTGATAAAGAATTAATATCCAGACTATATAAAGAACTCTTACAACTCAACAACAAAAGGGCAAACAACTAATTAAAAAAAGAAGGAACTAGAGACAGACATTTTCCCCAGAGTAGATATACAAATGGTCAATAAGCACATGAAAATTAAAACCACACACACACACACAAAAAGTCAAATCCGCTGGGTCAGCTATAAGAAAAAAATGTAAAATAAGCAATGTACACGAGGATGTGGAAGAAAAATTGGAATCTTTGTACACTGCTGTCAGGAATGTAAAATGGTGTAGCTGTTTTGGAAAGCAGTTTCGAAATCCTCAAAAAGTTAAACATAGAGTTGTCATATGATCCAGCAATTTTAATTCTGGGTATATAATCAAAGAAGTATAAACAAGTATTCAAACAAATTCTTGTACATGAATACATGAAACACTGGATTCATAACAGCTAAAAAGCAAACATCCCAAATGCCCCTCAACTGATGAATGAAATAAACTGTTCTATACCCATACAGTGGAATATTATTTGGCCATAAAAATTGAACCTCTGATACAGTATGGATGAACCTCAAAAACATGCTAAGTGAAAGAAGCCAGACACAAAAGGCAATATAATGTATGATTCCATTCATATGAAACATCCAGAGCAGGTAACACTATACGGCTAGAAAGAAGAGACTAGATGTTGTCAGGGACTAAGAGGAAGGGGGAAATGGAATGACTACTTAATGGGTGGGATTTCCTTATAGGCTAATGAAAATGTCTTGGAACTACACTGAAGTCATGGCTACACTCCATAGTGACTGTACTAAATGTCACTGAACTGCATACTTCAAAGGGTTTAATTTTGTTATGTCAGTTTCACCTCACTTAATAAAAATGTAGCTACTCTTGCCACACTGTGCACACACAGTCTTCTATGTATCACAACATAATGTGAAGATATTACTCATAATACTACTGTCTCTTATCACAGGTAGATGGCTGGAAGTGTCCACGGCATGGACTCTTAAGTAAAATTAAGCTGTAATTAAAATTAGAGACATTGGGATCCCATCAAATAACTAAAAACCTTTTAGGGTAGAACCTGAGAGCATCTCTAGTTTAGAACACAGACTGATCATAAAGTCCATTAAAGCAAGTAACATATTTATCTAGGTAAATCCAAGAACAAACTGCTTGTCCCATGAAAGAACAAAGTGTTTGTCCCACGAAAAAGTATTCAAAGCAATTTTAAAAAATTGAACCAAACTAATTAACATTTCTTCTAATACTAAGTTGTCTAATACAGTAACCACTTAAGATACGATAATGTAAACTGAAACGTGCCACAACTGCAAAGTATACACTGGATTTCAAGGGGTTATTTCAATAATTCTGTATTGATTACATGTTAAAAAGATTTGGAAATAACTAGGCTAAAATTAATTTCATTTTTCATTAATGTTACTATAAAATTTTAAGTCACATTTAAATCTATTTAAGTCATATATATGACTTGCATTATATTTCTATTAGATAGCACTACCTTAAGGGAATTCTTTAGAAAATTCTTTAAGGTTCCATAGGACATTCTGAAAAACTGTACCTTGTATACAAACCAACCAAAAAACCCCCAACATTCTAGACAGAAGTGACAAAGAAGTGATCTATCAAGTTTGCTTCCCCCTTGATTTGTAATGAAAAACTGCATTCTTTGACATGAGGATAATACTATCTGCATAAAATAATTCAAATTGATGAGAGAAAATTTCAGCTGAAATGAATTTTAATAGAACCAATCCAATTCAACATACATAAGAACAATGAACTACAGAGAATTCAAATAACTTCTTAGCATTTACACTGGTGTCTAAATGACAGAGTAAGGAGTAGATAGATCTTCTACCATTTATTCCAGAACTGTTTCTACTTTATTCAACTATTCATAAAATATCACAGCATTGGGCTTCCAATAGCCTAAAGACACAAACTACAGCCTAATGGTACTAATCCTGGCTGTATACTAGAATTCTCTGAGGAACTTATATATTTTTTTTAAATATGGATGCCCAGCTCTCAATCTCCAGATATTAGTCAACTACACATATTTTAAAAGCTTATTAGAAAATTCTAATGAGCAGCCAGAACTGGGAACTAATGACCTACTTTACCCAGATGCAAGCACAGGCCTATCTTGAAACAATTTTTTAGGTACAATTCAATGAACAGGTAATAAAGAATGAAGCAATCTGCTCTTCAAACCACGGCTACTTCAAGGAGCAAACAGAAACACCTGAGGATGATAAGCAGCCTGTAGGCATTGGTATAACTAAACTCTTGATCACTAATACCCATCCTAATTGTTAAATATTTTGAACATCACCCTGTGAAATTTTATGTCAATCAAAGGGAGCACAAAAAAGATGATATATTATTGCTGGACAGAATTCTAAGTCTAAAAACTAATGTAACTCCATTTTACAAATGGAAAAAAAAGACCCAAAGAAAAGTGGCTTGTCAAAGTGACAAGCCTACTTGGTGGTAAAACCTGGACTAGATACCAGGATGAGGCTAGTCATGTCTCCACATCAAGTGCTGTTGTAGCAACAACAACAAGGGGATTGCAACATACACTTTCTTTGTTAGACGAAACAGAAGGGAATGGATTAGAAAATGTATTATTCTAAAGAACTGTTTTTGCACTGTCATGATATAAAACATTTCTTATCATGATTGTGGTAAAAGTTTACAACAACCCTGCCACTCTGCAGTAGCTGGGATCAAAAACAGTCTTTAAGTCACAGGGACTTCTTTTCCTAGGAATACTCCAATGATCAAGTTTCCAAATTACACTGCTGTTATTTCAGGGATATTACATTTTTAAAAAGATACTACCAAGGGAGAAAAAATATTAATAATCTGAGTTCAGTTCAAGAGTCATATCTTGTAATAGAAACAATTCTACCAGTTTCATTCATTATAAATGAAAAGAATCCAGGTCTCTTTTGCATGGTTCACATTTTGATCAATTTGTGTGTCAACTGTTGGTTCATAAAAGTTACCTGGTGTTCTGCTTCCTGGAACTTTCATGTATAGCTGAACTGTGTTCATACCCAGTATGGTATGACCAACGTGGCTTAGAAGGTTTCCTGCTGATACAACACGCACAAAAGCAGGAAGTTTAGTCAGCTCATGTAGCTGCAATTTCCACCTGCAATAAAAAAACAGATCAAGAGTGAAATCGTGCTATAAATATGTGTAGTAAAGAACTTTAAGAACCTTGTGTTCCAATCAGAAAAACAATCAAATCTATAAATATTTTACTTCTTCATAGGAAAACTCTGGAATGCTTAAATTTTTAAATTTTGCAAAGAAAAAAAAAGCATCCTAACAAAAAGCATAAAAATTAAAGAAACTGACTTCCTTATTTTTATAATTGTTGTATAATTTTATTTTACTAATATATTTTATATAATTATTACGATTGTGCAACAACATATAGAAGGGACTTGAAAATGTATACAAGAGTTTTAAGTCAAAGAAAATAATTGTAAAACCTAGCAAAAATAATTTGGCTAAAACCTGCATACTAATTTAGAAAAATGACAATGAACAAAACAGAAGAGGAAACTAGACAATTCTCAGTCATGCTAATAGGACGCCTCTTTGTATCATTTAACAGAAACACTACTAGAAAGACTTACTTTTTATCATCAGACAGGTCAATGTTGGTCCCAAACTTTATGGTTTTAAAGGGTCCTTTTCTTCTCCTCCCAGAACTTAAAGAGAGAGACAGTATTAGAAACATGCCTTTTAAACAGAAATACTAAGTGGACATTACAAATTACTTACTTATCTGAAGATGTAGATTCATTATCTGAGTAGTCTTTATGGTGACTTCTTTTCTCATTTTCTTCCTGTAGATTAAGCAAAAAGCATTCCAGCTTAGTATTTATTCTGCAACCTTTTTACCATACAGTTGAAAAGTTTACATATAGATCAATGGTGGAGTATTGAAGCTAAGTTTCTATAGACCTCTCTCACACGAAAACTTCTTCAAAGACCACATTAAATAGAAAGCCAGGCAAAGTCAAAACTCACTGGCATGGTATCTAACCCCCTCCACTAGCCACATAGTCTTCCTTTCTAATATTCTCCTATAAGGAGAAAAACTATACATTCTCGTTCCTGCTCCACTCCTCCCCACTTTCAAGAGAGATGACACTTAGGTTGACAGGCCCAGAAGTGGCAACCTTGATTATAAATTTCCTCAACTAACAGAGGTATGCATGTATATGTAATTATATATGTATGCAATGCATATGGAAAGACAGAAGTTAAGATTTTCTCTGTTCTTTATTATGGACAAATGTGAGAAAGTTATTTCTGGGATAAATCTTTTTTCCCTCAAAATGAATTATATGTGAATTATAAACATTTACAACATTAGCAAGTAAATTAAATGCTGGACAAATACAGGAGCTTTTCAACGCAAATATTACTATTATTTGATTTCCCTGTCACTGACATGGTATCTTTTTACCCCTGTCCTACGATTTCTGACTTAGGTATACTTAGTGACATTTCTGCCTCCCTCCCTTTAAATGTGTATGGTTTTTAAACATTTGTTAAATTTTTCACACGTCTCCAAAGCACACACAAAAACCATTGTTTCTTTGATTATGGATCAATTTCTATTTAAATACTCTGCCTCTCATCATCTTCTTCCAAAAATTTCCTCGATGATCTCTGAATCCTGCTTATTATCTATTTCTTTTCTGACCACTATACTACCATGGAGTTGAAGTATCTCAGAAGTTTGAACTAGAGAGATTTATATGAACAACAAATTTACTGGAACTCATATAAGTTGCAGGATAGTTTTTATTAGATGACTTTCTCTATATGATATAGAGTGGTACTGAAAAAGGAACACAATCACATGATTAGCAGGTACAAATGTTGCCTAGATTGAAAATGTGAATTCAGGGCAGAATTTTAAACAGAGATAAGCAAATTTAATGAATTGCAAATAAAAGACTGGCAGGCACATATTAAATTTCAGCTGTGGGATATGTACAGAACAACTTAGTACAGATAAGTGTTTGAGTAATACATTTAATAAAGTCACTTTTATGGATGTTTTATGTTCACTTTGTAGGAGAATTCACGAAGTTCTCATTTCAGTGCTAAAGGATTTTAGTAATGCTTCATTGCTGAAAGGCCTATGAATCTTAATAATAATCCTGATTATTTTTCAAAGTTTTGTTCCTTAATTTTCTGTATATTTTAAAATAACTTATGCCTCTCTTGGAGTTTTCTCTTTCAGACTAAGATGGATAATGCTTCCTGGAAGAGTTATATATCAGATAATACTAACCTGATAGTTTAATGGGAAGGCATAAGACAAGGAACTCTGCAAGCATACAGCAAACTTGAGACTTAGTTTATCCTCTAATATCAGCAGTTCCCAATTAGGGATAATTCTACCTCACAGGGGACATTTGGCATGTCTGGAGACATTTTTGATCGTCAAAACTGCAATAGGGTATAGGGGGTGTGCTACGGACATCTAGTAGGGAGAAGCCAGGGAAGCTACTAAATATTCTACAATACACAGGACAGCCCCCCACAACAAAGAACTATCCAACCCAAAATGTGAATAATGCCAAGGTTAAGAAACACTTCTTTAAATAGAAATATCCCAGAAATGACAGAGATACCTCACTAGACAGTAACAGTATTTATCAACCCATAGGTTTGCTTAGACTTAGTAGTAAGAGTGAAGTGGATAGCATTTATAAAGTATTTTATAAAAATAAGAATAATAAAAAACTATTTTATGTAACAATAAAATAATGAGATGCTTACAAAAGCTCCCTTTCAAAGCAAAATAGTATAAAATAAAAATCTCCAAAATAAAATAATTTTCAGTAAGTACTTACTCTCAATGATTCCTGGAAAGAGGAGGCCTGGTACTGTGCATATTTAGCAATTGTAGTATGAGATCTATTACTTTCACAATGCCAGATTTTCTTTGTTCCAGTGGGATCCCAGTTCTCATCTGCTGGCTGCAACAACTGTGTCCTCACTTCCACCATATGTTCATTGTTAGCTTCTACCAAAGTTTTGGTAGAGAAAAGTCCCAGGTCTTCATAAATAAATAAATGTAGTTAATAAGTAAAAATAAATTTGGAATAATATTTTTTAAAGTGCTTTTATTTTTCCTTTAAGTAAAAAAGAAAAATGTTTCATGGTACTTATCTAATTCCCCTGAAACACAAGGGCCTCTGCACACTCTGAAGCCCTGGACCTAACTGTCATGCTATTAACAGAGGGAGAAAAATCAAGGGGCCATGGAATGAAGATTCACTCATTTATTCAATCTCTGAAAGTGAGAAGAACTATTTAGGAGGCTACAGTACTTAATAGTAATATCAAAGTTTTCCCTGAATCTTGTATTAAGAATTTCTATTAGTTAACCTAAATCATAATTATATAACAGCAAGAAAATAAAAGCTAAATTAAAAAAGTAATACTCCCTCTCTCCCTCCTTCTCTCTGACAGGAAAATATTAAAATGAAAATGTGAAAAATTACAACAAGAAAATAGAAAAAAGTTTCTGCTAGTGCTTTAGAAGTTAATAGATAGTAAAGGAAATTCACAGATTGAAATGAGTCAAGAAAAAGCACTTATAGCACATTTTTGAAAATGTGGAAATGAATATCACAAGCCACAAGTAGAAGTAAATGTCGCTGCCTGAAGGAGTTGGGACTAAAGGAGAAGAAGGAGTGAAGCAGCTAATTACAATTTTAAACACAGGCTGTCTTCACCTTGCACAGTAGGTTAAGATCACAAAAGTGACTATGCAATCCGCTACTGTGCACAACAGTGTTAACCAATGGGAAAAATCATAATTGTTTAGCCTTAAAGAATATTTGTCAACACATCAAAAAACTGTTAGTCATGAATGTATAGGAAAGTGAAAAAAAGTAAATATTTATTTAGTAAATGTGTTTGTTGCCTATAACTTTATAAAATTATAGAATTTTTATTAAATTAAAAAATTTAAGTTATGTATTGCAATTATAACTATAAAAATTTAAACTTTAACTTTTATAAATTTAAATAAATAAAATATTCATTATTTATCTAAAAAAAAAAAAGAAATTCACATACTTTTCCTTTTTCTTATTTAAAGCTTACCCAACTTAAGAGCTCCAGCAAGGCCACGTATTACTGTAACAGGGTTGTTTGGATTTGTACAAAATTGATGTAATGGAGGAAAGAAAGCATCACGTTTATTTTCCAACTGCAAAATTAAAATATACTGTTAGATCTCTATAAAGTAGACCTTTGAGAAAATATTATGCCAAATTCTCATTATTTTATTTCAATTTAAATAAATAATACATTCTATGCGCCATTACTTCTATTTTTTATATTTTATAGTATTTTATCACTATGTCTTTTGATTCTAATTGGAGTTAGATAGTAACTACATACATTTCTCTTGTTCATTATATCTTGAACAAAACACGTGAGAGGTAAAATTTAAACTTCGAAATCAAAATGGTTTAAATATTACTCAGCCGTAAAAAGGAAGAAAGTCCTATCACATGGTACAACATGGATGAATCTTGAAGACACTTTAAATGAAAATAAGTCAATCACAAAAAGAAAAACTGTGCAGCATAATTTAACTTACATGAGGTATCTAATGTAGCCAAATTCATACAAATAGAAAACAGAGTGATGGCTACCAGGGGCTGGGGAGACCAGGGAAGAGGGAGCTGTTTTTTAAATGGGTATTAAACTTCAGATCTGCCAGATGAAAATGTTCTGGAGAACTGGTTTATAAACAATAAGAATATACTTAACACCACTGAACTGTACACTTAAAAATGGTTAAGATGATAAATTTTATGTTATGTGATCTTTATTATAAAATAGAGGAAAAATCAGTTTTTAAAATCAATAAAAAAATTGGGGGTAGAAGTGGGAAAATGGGAAGATGGAAAGAAATGGGGTAGGAGGACCTATTTTGGAGAAAGATAAATAAGAGCTGCTTTGACTGAACTCTTATCAACTTCCTATATGAGATATCTAAATGTCTGTTAAGTAAAACTAATCCTCAGTTCTAAATAATCTATTAAGACATTTAATGACATATCTATCATCATATTTTATATTCTTGAACACTTTTTCTTTGGGAAGGTAAATATCATTTTTTTAGTAGATGGACAAAACAATGAATATTAAGGTCCTTACAACTAGTAAAATGCAGATTTAAAACACAGCTTACTTCAAAAAAGTTATTTTTAATGGTTTTTGCCAACATCTATTAAAAATAAGGGGTAGTAAAAAATTATTTTGTGCTACTGTAATAGAATCACAGTTAATAAATATCTGAGAAGGCATGTTTTAAATACTATTACAAAATCTTTTTGAATACATCATTTTCCCCTGAAACATTCAAGCTGCCACCAATAATTTTAATGTTTCCTAAAGGGCATCCATATTGATTTAAAGCAAGATCTTACGAAAGACAGGTAGGTGCAAACACTGGTTTGATTTATTTCTAGTCAGTCAATTCAGACTCACATAAATACTAGGTGTAGGTGGATTCAACTTTTCCTTTGGCAAGGGAGGGTATGGTGAAGATGGTGGTCTTGGTGGCGGACATTTATCCAATAAAATGCTACTGTTAGATAAGCCATTTTTACCTAGGTTCCTTTAAAACAAAACAAAACAAACAAAAAAAGAATAAATCAGCTGTACATTTATTTAGAACACAGAAAAAAAAATCTGAATTAAGTCTTAACTAATTTACTGGGTAGTTGAACAAATCCGTAAGATTTGGATCCACCAGGAAAAAATTGAGAGCAATTACTCATTTTAGTAAATACTTCAGTAAATATAGGAATCAAGCTATCTCTCACTGAAGAAAAATAATAGAAAAGATACTGTGTGCTCAGGTGCATCCAACTCTTTACAACCCTCTGTCAGAACCCTCTGTCCATGGAATTTTCCAGGCAAGAATACTGAAGTGGGTTGCCATTTCCTACTCCAGGGGATCTTTCCGACCCAAGGATCGAACCCACATCTCTTGCTTTTTCTGCATTGGCAGGCAGATTCTTTACCACTGAACCACCTGGGAAGCCAGAAGAGATACTATAATACATGAATTATTGAGGACATTCCTTATACTGTTGGTAATTTTCCAATTTTTCTTTACCTAAAGAACACAAACCCTAATTTCCTCTCCACCATCTTCCACCATCAGATGCTTTCCATTAAATGTTAAACAATAACTTGACCAAAAAAAGTCTAGATAATTAGTAAAAATCTCTCTTTCTATGTCTCATCTCAGTAACTGTAACAAGAATATCTTTGTGACAATTCTCAAACCTGAAAAGATCTTTGTTTCTTTTCTCAAATGTTGGAAAGAATTTTCTGTGAAACTCCTTGACAAAATTCAGCAAGACCCCAACCTACTATATTTTACAGCAAATGACACCATTTTTAAAAATGAAGCATATAGTTCCTACCCATTATCTGACAGTCTATTATAACAGCTATTACTTACTAATATTTGGTGTTTCTTTTTCTTTAATGATGGCATGTTAGTTAAATTATCAGTTAAAATATGGTAAAATTATTCCCAAACTGCAATTCTTTTAGTATAAGGAAGAAAAAGAAAAGTATTTTCTATTTCTTAAAGTTTCTACCCAACTTAGAAAATCAGCAAAATATAATGTTGAGCTTTCAAATCATTCCTGATTAACTAATTTACCTCACTCAATTATTACATGTTCAAAACTAACCATTACATTAAAATATCGAATATTCTTAACATATTAAAATTTCAGATGAATTTGAAAATTATAATTATGGTAGAGTTAAAAAAACTTAGTAATTTTACTTACTGAAGAAGGAACTAGCAATTTTTTATCATAAACAACAAAGGTTGAAAGCTTCTGTAGTACTGGAAAAACCTTACAAACCAGTCTGTTCTCATTGGCACTAATGAAAACTAAGGCTTGAAATTTCACTGAGATGTTACACTACAGCATCATGGATGACACTTTTTAAAATTTTCTCAACTACAACGCCAAGTAAAAACAAGAGTTCGACAGGTATCAAAGAATGAAATAAGTTTAAAATAATTGACTCTTTCAAAAAAGTATGTGAAATAGTCATTAAAGTGAAATTCTAAGTTCAACTAACATTTAAGGTTATAAGAAAAATAAATGAATATTCAACTCATTACCAGCTTTCAATAATTCTCCACAGTGTATCTGTATATTTAAAGACAGACATGATATTTAACCTCTTAAATTTAGGTGTAAAATTGGTACTAATTCATAAACTACACGGCAGTAGAAAATGCTTGGCTGGGACTACTAAAGAAACAATTCAAATATTATCATTAAACCAATGCCAAGAGAAAACATTCACTTACAATTGCCACATAAATAAGTTTTCATGCTAAATCATGTATCAACCACTGTTTGGAATTTAAACAAAATTTCACTCCAAACACATAAAATTTGTTTGCCAGAGCAGGAGATGGATGTACTGTATAGTACATAATTAAATATTTTAAGGAATTAGATCAAGCATTTTAAGGATATGGATCAAGTATTAAATCTGTACCATAAAGGAATATCTCATGCTAATTAAACATGACACAAAAATTTAAGCTTCTAAAACAGTTTGGACATTGAGAAATGAGGCAAGAATAAAGGGTGTGATTAGTCAGCAGAATTCTGCTTCTATCATTTGCACAGTTCTGTAACAAAAGTTAGAAAAAAGCAAATGGGAAAGTAAATAAAAGATGTAGCTGCCTTTATTTTAAGATAGAAAAAAATGTGAGGCATGACTAAGAGAGCTGAAACTGACTCAGCCATTGGATGCTGCAATTTCAACTGTAAACCAAAAAAAGAGGCAAAAGTATTGTAACTGACTTCTGATGATGCACAGCACTGACCACTAAGATGACCCCAACAAGAGTCAGATTAAAAATATTGAACACTTTAAAAACTAACCACATATGTGAAAATAAGAGGGTAGTTGCACTATGTGATCAAACTGCAGTTAGTAGTTTCTCACTATATTTCAAACACTGACTCCCTGCCTAGTGAGGACAAGTCTGAAACAAATAGAAATTTCCCTTAAGGAACTGTTACTGGTAGCTTCTATATAGTGACTATAACCTTTGTCCACTCAAAACACTAAACGACAGAGATGTGGTTAACAGGAAGAGACTCGTATCTTTTGAACATGTATGTGCTCAACACTGTTCATAATACTTCAAGCCAAATAATGTATTTAATGTAACAACCCAAATATATATATATATATATATATGTTTAATAATCCAAAGTGGAGAAAGGCATTAAAGAAGCAGGTGCTGGAAAGGATTTAGACATTATCCCATTTTAAATCCTTTTCTCCCATTTTGAAACTCTTTTCCTGAGCAATGTAGATTATGCTATTTAGTTATTGCCCAATTATTTTATGGGCTTCCCCAGTGGCTCAGACGGTAGAATATCTGCCTGCAATGTGGGAGATCCAGGATCAACCTTTGGGTCAGGAAGATCTCCTGGAGAAGGGAATAGCCACTCACTCCAGTATTCTTGCTTGGAGAATCCCATGGAAAGAGGAACCTGGCAGGCTTAAATCTTGGCTTAAATTTACTTCCAAATTTACTCTCATCATTTGGTAGAGAAATGAACAGTGCTCTGTAGATAAACTGGCCTACACTTTTAATTATCTTTGATTATGAAGTTCCTAGGCCAGAAACATCAAGTCTCTTGCATCTACGTCACTTTCCTTTTCTAAGTTCTGGACCCCTGCCCAGGTCAGGACACCATCAACAGAACAGAAATGGGAAACAATATGCCTACCATTTGCCATCCTAACTTTTCTCTAAGCCTCAGAAGATTTTTATCTCCGATTTATCAGAGCATTTTTTTCTTGCTTCTTCATTAGATAAACTGAGGCCCAGATTTACTGAAATAACCCAAGCAACCCCAGATTTTTGATGTATCTAGCTACTGACAATACATATCTGTACACACACACAAATCAAGTCTCTGTAATAAGGCAAATTGTCACTAAGAGTTAAAAGATAAAAATAAATCTTTATAAAAAAGTGTACCTTAAAATTCTGAAGTGAATTTTTATATATATATATATATATACCTCAAAGCTGAGAGGAAAAAGTATAATCTTTAGTATTATACTTTTATAATCACAAATCACACCTAGTTACTTACAGCCTAAGACTTTATTAATGAAAACTTAAGGTAACTGCTATTGTATACGGTTTGTAACTTGTGTCTCCATGGAACTCTGACAATATTCCTCTCCAGAATACCATTAGGTCCCATATAGTCCATGTCAGTTTTGGACCTCTATATTTTCCCCCACTTTCTAGCAACTATCCTGAAGACTACAGAAAGCAGGAGAGGGAGCAAGACCCTGATCCAGCACGGTGGTAGCAGCACTATCTAGGAAACGGGACAGAGGCCCCAGCAGCTGAGTGCAGAGCAGGTCGAGGACAGTACAAACTGGCAGCGAGCCAAGGCA